CCCCTCCCGCGCAGAACTTGGAAACTTTGCTGCTTGCGGACAAGAACTGTACCCAGCCCCTTCTGCTCCCTTTAAAGGACAGTCGTGACTGGGCACCCAGAAGTCACACTCCCTGGAAAACACCAACAAAGGGCTATATTTAGCGCCGAGCCCGCCGCCTAAATTCCTCTTCTTTTTGCTCGCTCGCCTTCCAAGCCACTAGGTTGGGGAAGTGGGAGGAGGGGGCGGGGAGCCGCGGAGAAAGAACAGCTGTGCCTCCGCCCCCTACCTCCAGCTCTATAAATAACCAATCACCGGCGGAGGCTACTTTTTAGCCAATGGGGCAGCCCCGACCGACAAAACCCTGGCGGTGGCCAATGGGAGGACGCTTGAGGGTGTGAGATTTGCGCCCGGGACCAATGGGCCGCGAGCCTGGGAGAGGTAATTTGAGCCGGGTGTGGGTGTGCGGTGCGAAAGCTTCCTCCTTCCACCCGAGCCGCCCGCCCACTGAGCATGCCCCGGCTGGCCGCGGGCGCCGCCGCCTCGCGGACGGGGTGGGAGCCGTCTCCGGGTTTTGGCTCTAGCCGTGGGGAGGTGGGTGGGACCCTCCAGTCCCAGCCCGGAGAGGGCTCGGGTCACCGGAGGCTGCCCCTTCCCTGTCGGGACAGTAATTCCGGCGCCCTGTTCCCGTTCCCTTTGTCCGCGGTGTGCAGAGCGGGCAGAGGCGGCCGGAGAATGCCGAGGAGGGTGTCCGAGGCGGTTTAAAAAAGGCTGCGCCGCGGGTGGGGGAAGAGGCTCCACCCGCCGCTCCCGCACCCAAATGCCCTCTGGGTCTCGGGCCCCGAGACGCACACTGCCGGCGATCGGGGAGTGGAGGCCAAGGGATGACGGGGTCGGCAAGAGCAGAGCCTGCTCCGGGCCCACAGTGCCCTCCGCGCGCGCACGCTGCTTGCAGAGCCATCGCCGTGTGCGCCAGCCCCAGAGCCGCGGAGGAAACGGCCCCCGCCGTCCCGCCCGAGCTCCCCCA